TTTCTTCCCTCTTTTTCCTCTTTTTGTTCTTTTTCTTTTTCTTCTTCTCTTTCTCCTTTCTCCTCTTCTTTTCTCTTTTTTGCCTCTCAGTATCTCCACTCCTCTCTCTCTCACTCCAGCTTGCCCACCACTCTTGGAGCTGAGACAGTTGGCTCCCTCCCCTCTCCCTTTCTCTTTCCATTTCTCGGTCACCCCAGGATGTCCGTGGTTTCCTTGGTGGTACGGGTGGTGGCAGGCGCCCATGACTGAGGGAACGAGGGTGGATGATTGAACGCTCCCTTTCCCTCCCCCTGCCAAGAAGGAGGCTCGACTCTTCTGTCAACTCCTCCTCATCATCATCATCATCCTCTCCATCCATTCCTCCAGTCCTCCTGCTCCTGGAGGAGCTGTAAGAGTATGTTGGAGACGTTGAGCGAGAAGATGAGGCAGATGAGGACGTGGATGTGGATGAGGTGGTAGATGTGGAGGATGAGGACATATAGTGCAAGGATGCAGAGGGAGAAGGAGGGGTGTAGGAGGGGCTGAGGGGTACTGGCACAGGAAGTGAGAGTGGGGGAGAGTGGGGGCGTGCCCTCCTCCCTCCTCCCTCCCTCACTCCCTCTCGTGCTCCTCCCCTCCTCCCCAGGGGCAGAATGTTCTCATACAGTGGCCCTCCGGGCTCTTTGGGCTTCTTAGGCCTGCGCTTCCTCCAGAAGGATGAAGGGAGAAGGGGAGAGGGATGTGGCAGTGGGGGTGTAGGAGGAAGAGGGGCCTGACTCTTAGGAGGCAGTCTGGGAGTGCCCAGAGATTTAACGGCCCCTTTCCCCTGACCTCCACTGCTACCTCCCACCACCCTCTTCCCCATCCCGAGGTCCATGCCCTTCTCTGAGTAGAAGGCGACACTGGCCGGAGGGGGCTGAGGGTGGCCCCTGGGCATAGTCTTGGGGGTCTGGGACCCTGCCTGCTGCTCCATGCAGGGCCCTAGTCCCTCAGGGTCAATGGGACCATAATATCTTTTATAGCCATCAAGTCCCCCAGCCCCTCCAGCATTTGAAGCCCAGTTTGGTGGGACTTTCTGAGCAAAGGGTCCCATGTCAGTGATGGCCCCCCTTACAGCCATAGGGTTGGTGGCTGTAGCAGATTTTGGCAGCCTCCAGCGATCCACCACAGCCAATCTACGGTCTGGCCGGGGCAAGAAGGTGGAGCAAGGGAGGGGAGCACCAGCAACTGGGGTGTTGGGCGGACCCAGTGCTGTTCCAGAATGCATCACGGTGGGAGGAGAGCCCGGTAGAGGGGTTTTGTAGACAGGCTGTGGTTGCTGCTGTTGCGGTGGTTGCTGCTGTTGTGCTATGGCAATGGCTGGGTTGGTCATAGACGTAGAGACGACATGTGCCTGAGACGGGACTGTAACCATTGCAGTGTGATGATGAGTAGGCAAAGATTTGACTCCACCTGGTGCTGTTTCATCCTCAAAGCTACAGCAGCTATACATGCCCTGAGAAAAAAAGCACATAGTCATTTAACAGGGCTTTTTAACAGAGAAACATGAAATAAAATAGAATTAAAAAAAAGATTCTAAAATAAAAATTGAAGTGAATTAAATTTTCCTTTAGGATAATGGTGCAGGAATTTATCAGCAAAAATGTAACAATATGATGTGTTCAAATTCCAATATAATGTGCAAATTATGTACAAAAATAATGTTTTAGTTGTGCATGAAAGATAAGAAGAAGGCAAAAGAAAGAGACAGAGAATTGAAATCATAAAACTAGTAGATTCCAAAAAAATTCATGGTTGCTATTTGTCAAATAAAAATTGATAGTACAGCTGTGCATTGTTTTGTTACATAAATGCATAAATTACATCTACAGTGAGGAAAGGGCACAGATTATCAACGAAGCAATAATAATCAGATCCATAAAATGTGGGCTGTTTCTGTCAAGGTCACTGTCAAAGGAACAGGGTATTCAGGGTGTAAGCGGAACTGAATTTCAATTAATCTCTCAAATTGACTCAGTGCAATTGAATTGACCCCAGATCTCACACTTTCTAACACTCAGTAACAAATAAAGGATCACACAGGCAGAAACACACATGCTCACATGTGTGTGCATATGCCTGCATGTACAGCATTTTGGTTTTTCCTGTTTTACTGTAGTTTAATTTTAGTGCACTAAATTCTAGGAAGATTCAGTGTCTGTGACCAAAAAGGTTTTTAACTGGGTGCAAATAAAAATACTAACAGTGGAAATAAAACCCAGAGGCGCTAAAACACATTTCACAATGTCTGCAAAGTAAGTGCTAGTATATAAAAGCACTACACACACAGACAAAAACACTTACCCTGCTGATTGCCAGCAGAAAGTCCAATTTGCCAGAACTGGTCGCCATGCAGTGGCGCAGCTTCCAGTAGACCAAGTGTTCCCAAGCAAACACCAGCAGACTGAGGCCCATAGCCACCAGAAGCATGTAGAAGACCCCGGCCATGTTGTCAATATCCAGTTTACTACTCATCACCTCAATTTTGTCATTATGGCAGATGCCTGACAGCCAGAGGCGCTCCAGCATCTCAATCTCATCTGGAAAGGGGGATGAGTGGGGGATGTGGAGGGAGGAATGGGGGTGGGCAAGAATGAGGAAGAGAAGTGGGAAAAAGGAAAGGTATCAGATTAAAAGGATATAAAAGAAAGGAGATAAGAAAGGAGAGAAAATGTAGAGATGAATGAGATGGTTTTAAGTGCATGAAAAAAGAAAAGGGGTTAAGAGATGAGAGAAGTTATCAAACACTGGATAGGAGAAAAATTAAGGCTTGGAGGCATGGGGTTATTTCAAGGTTGTTCTTAAAGGATAACACCAGCGATTTTCTATGGTTTTGTTGTTTTCCACAAATGTCATACTGAGATTGAAACCAACAATCAATTTACTGGATTCATGGTAATGTCTGTAAATCAAAAACCTACTTTAGCTCATTTGTCTGTGCCGTATGCCTACTGCTGTCTGAAAACTATTAAAAACACACCAGTGATCCACACCACTGCACTAATGTTTTTTTCTCACTGAATCCATGTGGTACAGTATATGCTTTTTTGAAAAATAATTCGAAATCCTAAGAGTGGTCATTGGTTTTTACAGTCTCTGAAGTTTGAAAGAGTCACCTGTGCATGTGTGCAATCCGCTGCCTGTTTTCACTCCTCTGCTAGCTTCTCTTAATATACACAGCTAGTGGAGTAGTGTAACTCATATATGTATGTATACTGTACTGTAAATGTATGAGTGTAATAGAGCAGAGATCACATGCATGCGCAGTTGTGAGCACACAAAATGGATTGTTGGTTTTAGTTACTGTATCAGATTTGTGGGAAAAATATCAAAAACCTAGAAAATCACTGGCATCATATTTTAATAAGGGCTAAAGTACAGATTTACATTATGAACTTGCTGTTTGACTATTATTCAAGGTGAGCCCTCAAGGTTAAAGGTCAGTAATACAAAAAGCAGCGCTGTGTTCAAAATAACAAAGAGCAAGACTGAAACAGAGATGAGAGAGTCTGAAACAATGAAGTAGCACTGAGAAGTAAAATGGCACCGACAACCTAATCTCAACATTGTAACCCCAAGTAAATGAGGAGATGAAGAGAAAGGGAGACCAGGAGCCACAGTGAGATTGTTGGATAGGTTGAGGGAAGAGAGAAGTAATGACAGAGTTAGGAAGAATGTCTCATAAAGAGAGAGAGGGTGAGGCATTCTTTCTCTGTCTACAAAGGCATCAAGGGAAATGAGACAGGCAGAGAGAGTTGGGGGGAGCAGGAGCAAGGGAAGCAGAGATGGAGGACGAGAGGCTGCGATTGTGTCATTATGACAAACAGCAGGAACACTCCTCTGCTTGAAGAGGATGAGAGGAGTGAAAGAGATGAGAAAATGTGAAGAGAGAGAACCAATAGGCAGGGATGGAGACAGAGGCAGAGGGAGAAGATCATAATCATTTAATTGTGCTAGAGGGATGGTCAGAATCTCCACCAAGGTGGTAAACTCCAGAGGATTCAAGATTCCCATCTGTTAACTCACCAGGAACAAGGCAAGACTACTTTACCCACAACTTTGCCTTTTCATTTACCCTACGATCTCACTGGCCAAACAAACAGAGCAGCTCTGCTAAGTCTATGATTGGCTGTGAGGTTTCAGGTGTAACCATAGTGATGGACAGTCAGAAGGTGTGGCATATGATTCATAATGGAATTAAAGAGGCGTATTTTCCAACAGAACTCGTAATGAGAGCTTTCTGTTACACTAACAGCAATGGCAGGATGAGCAGCATTGCAATAACCAGGTCTGAAGGTTGCATTTTACTGCATATTACAGTCTGTGCACTATTTCAAGCCAAATGGGAAAAGCAGGGTTTAAAAGCTGACAAGTCACAAATCCTCTTGCAACACCACACTGCTCTGTGCAAACTCAAGCTCTAGCCTTTTCATTTTTTCCATCATTAGCTGTGCTTGTGCAGTTTAGATGAAACTGATTCAGTCATCTGTGTGATCTGGCTAATGTGTCTCCTGTAGAACATCATTAGCCAATCAGCCATGGCCTCCAGCTACAGCAACAGATGGACACACTGCTACTGCAGCCCACTGGCAGAATCAGGTAACAACTTCTTGTCTCAGATTCTCCCATAGATTCCAAGATCCAGTGGCCTATTTTTTTTTTTTTAATCCAGAGTACAGCCCCACTGAAGATGATTTATCAGTGTCATTGAGCTTCAGAAGCAGCTGTGTCCAAACAGGAGTCCAATGTAAAATCAGCAAGTGTCCTAGTGAAGGGTAGAGATAAACAAGTAGTCTCACGTCTGTCCTCCAAGTCACGATCAAGTCCTTTCTCCAAGCTGTAAGTCTCTTCTGGCATATGACTCACCGTGATTCATCCGGATTTTCTTGGTTTCCCTCTTTTACAATTTGACTCTTTTGTCACTATATTCCTGTTTCTTCAGTTGTCTCCTCATCTCAGTCACAGCCAGCTCAGGCCTGCCAAATCTGACAGGTGTGTCAAATCCACACTCAGCATCTGTAGTTCTTGGCAGGTCAGGTCATGTAGAGCTGACACACTGCGAGTGCAGAGTTGGCATGCAACACAAAGACATGATCTAATACAGAAAGCTCAGTATGTGTGTGTCTGTGTTTGTGTAAATTTGCAAGTGCCTGTGTGCGCGTTTGCATTTTGCACTGTGCCAGATGTGGCAAGATGCCAGACATGTCCAGAGACGCTGATGAGCTCCATGGTTGTAGCGCAGTAAACCGTGACCTATACAATCCCCTGGTTTATCACAACATGACAAACCTCTCGACATTCATTGCAAGATTTCAGAAAAAAAGCACCTTGCCAGCCAAGATCAAACTTAGCTTCTCACAGTTTTTTAATACCTCACTGAATAATATATTCCTGGAATCAAAATCATGATACAAATAAAAGAAAAAAGGGAAATCTTGCTACTCAGCAGTTTTGCCTTTATCAGAAAAAAAGTTGTATTGGGATCAATGGACAATTTCTTAAAGCTGTGGTATGAAACACCAGCGGCTGCAGCTAGAAGGACAAAACACACAGGGTTGAGAAAGCAGTGGAGGACTTCTCTAGTGCCCCTCTGTCCTCTAATGCAGCTGTAGAATGATATGACTCAACACAGCATGGTACAATAATGATGTAACACAGCGACATGATTTAGCCTAGCTGAAGGTGTGAGTCCTTGAGCCACAGGGCAATTATTGATATGCAGCCTCTGAGGGCACGCTGAATGACGACATCCCCACCACCCAAATAAACTAATCCTCTTCCATAGTAAGCCACTCCACTATTGCCTGTTTACAACTAGAACCCTTAGCATTCAACACCATTCCATAACTACATCCATCCAGTGTACACAGCTAAGTGCTTTTGCTACACAGAGGAGGACAGAGACAAGGACATGTACCAAGAATTTAAAAAAACAGCAGACATGGCATGTCAAGGCTGTCTGGGCTCTCTATGCACACACATACACGCAGACTTCTCCAGGTCCAACTACTCAGCACTAGACACCAGTCTTATTTAATGGATCTTGGCACCAAACTGGCATTATGGAACAGCTAAAGGGCTTTGTCCGCTATGCCATAAGCAAAGCTGATTTAAAACACGAGGAAAAGCCAAACAAGCAGCATCCGATTGAGACAATAAATGCGTGTGGTGGACTGTGTAAAATGACAATCAAGCATTAGTGTAGCGACAGCTATTGCTAAAAACAGATTCCCTCTGTCACACACAAGGAAGTGTCCTCCCATGAAGTAATCCTAGTGTGTGCAGCAAACAAACAGCATACTAATAGTGTTCCCATAGCTATCCATTATTTAATTGTCCAATCTGCTTTCTTGAACTCTTTTGGCTTCAGCACACTCTGTTTACACCTCTTGTTCATGGTATTTTCAGGTGTTTCTCTTCAGTTATTTTTTCCTCACACTTCCTCACTCTCTGTGCCAGTCTCAACTAATCTGTAATGAGTGTATTTCTGTCACTGAACAAGTTGTGATGATCCTTTTTTTACGACACTGACTCACACAAGTAAATCC